GAACAAAACTCTGCCTATGCTATCTACCCAGCTTTGCTGTACTGCAAATTTACATGGGATGATCCTGTCACCATCCTACAATAAAACACTTCCTTGTGTTTTCTGTGGCTACATCTCACTTTGTAGCAAAGTACTGCTAGAGAATTTTTGTTACATGAGCATTTTTCCTCTAATTGCACCCTGAAAACTGAGGACTTGCCTGTTGGAGGGCCTGCCTGGGGCACAGGAATAGAGCCCTTCCCTCTGGAGACTGTACTGATCCTGCCCTTCCAGGCAGTATGGAGCTGGTGACAGATACCAAGGGGACAGGAGAAGGATGGGGGGGCAAGATGCTGTGCTTGCTGTGTGCACCATGTCAGTTCTCTGGTTTAGTCTCTCCATCAGACATGCAGGGCCCAGTGTTGCTCTACACTGACAGCTTAAAAAGCCCAAGGAAAGTAGGGAGCATGCACTGCTAACCTTCTGGCTGTGAAGAAGAGATTGTAGATAAAGGTTCCTCTATTCATGTCATCACAGGTAGCACAAGGATGTGCAGTGGGGCCATCACCATCTCTGCAGGGTGGGGATGTGAGACAGAGAAAAAAGATGGGTGTCTGGCATGGATATGTTGGGATAGTGTCCCAAAGATGGAAGAATAGGGAGTATATGTGAGATGGGGGGATATGAAGGAGCTGGAGGAAGCAAAGATGTCTCATATGCATGCGAGCAAGCACACAAGCATCCCCCTCTGCTCTGTTGCAGTAAACTTCCCCCTCCCTGGAGTTCATTGCTCCCCTCCAGGGAGGGAGGTGACTGCTTCATCGAGTTTTAAAATACAGGAATGTGAAAACCGTTAAACTCGCCTCTGGAGCCAAATTGCGAAAGCAAAATGTGGAGGGGAAAAAAAAAACAAACCACCAAACTTTTGGTTTGTGGTGGTGTTGAGATCACCGGGGGGGAGAGATTTTGAAAAAAAATATTTAAAAAAGAAACGACAACCCTGAGCCTGAGCACTGAAAAGAACAACATTTGATGAGCTCCAGGAAAACAAGGCATGAATACAGCCAGTCAGTAGCATTGCTCAGCTGATGTTCACAAGAAGGTTTCAACTTGCTCTATTAGAGATCTCAGTAAACCTTAAAGACAGAGAGAGCATTTATAAATGTCCCTGAGGTTTTCCATTACTTTGCAGTAGGCTTGGTAAACATGCCAATAAATACTGGAGAGAGAGGAAAAAACCTTCCAGAGGAACAGACCCAGGTTTTCAGCTGCTCAATCTTTTGCATCTATGGCTGCTGCTGCCGCTGTTGATCAGCACTGGGGAGAAAGAGGCAGAGTTGAACTTTTGCTGAGCATTAGGCAATGCTGCAGGTATTTCTGCGAAAAATAACTTTGGAGGAAGCTGAAAGTTACATCTGGAGCCATCTAAGGGAACGTCCTGATCGGAGACAAAAAGTTAATGGGATTCCTTCTGTCGTGGGGTGCTTGTGAGTATGGAAATCTCTCTGCTCTTCTGGAAGACAAGTATGCACAGGCTACTGAACCTGTCTGCTGTGGCGTAAAGGGGAGAAGCTCCTGCAAGCGTGGTGGGAATTGCTGCCTGCGTCGATCCAGTTTACGATAGCCCTGACCCATAGGTAGCCTCTTAATTATTTTAGCTGCTTATTTTAATGGTGCTGCTTGCTCCACCTGCGGGACAGCTCGCGGTGGGTGGGGATGGCAGAACTGTGGGTTTTTGCGAGACCAGCGTTTGGCCTCGGCGCTGGTTGTGTTTTTTTCTGGAAGAAAATAGCTGAGTTGGATGGCTCGGAAGCTGAGTTTGTAACTCCTAACTTCTTCTTCTCTTAGCTCAACTGAATGTGAAATCCACATGGTAACAGCGGAATGCCAGCATCAAAACAACTGAAAAAGACAAATTGTTCTGCATGCCCTAATTGCTGGGGTAGTCTCAGCTGACTACATATATTAAATTAACAAAGGGCAAGACAGGTTTTCTCAGATCAGAGATTAATAGTTTCTGGCCAGCAGTTTAATGCTATTGCAAACATACAAAAGCACCTGAGGACGGAGGTGTATAATTAATGACTCCTTAGACTGTTGGAAATGATGTGTGTTTATCTAATCAGACACACTTTACTTCTTTCTTGCTTTCCTGGAAGTGACCGTTAAAAGCTGCTGTGACGCACGCTCACTTCCAGATGCTGGCCTCGCCTCTTGGGCATTGCTTTGAAACCCACACGTACGATCTGATTGAGTGTTTGTAGGTGTCTTTTATTCCAGACCCACCTCGTTGCTCCACACATAAGACTGTAGGTTATTCTGGGGGATGCTGAGAGCCATGAGGAGCTATAGCAATGTCCAGAACGTCATCGTGCGTAACTGGGAGCCGCTGGGTACCACCCTCCGCTGCCTTCCCCTTGCTGAGCTCCTGCCTGACTGACGTGGCAGCAGCCAAAAGCCCTTCGCTCATTTGGCAGCATGGGAGGACACTGGGGGCTGGTGGCAGCTGCCCTGCCGCTGCACAGCCACCTCCTCTGTGCTGATGCCCACAGGTTGCTGGTGGGAGCATGGTGGAGTGATGGGAGCTGGGTGCGGGGTGTCTTGTGTCTCCTACTGAATTGGTACAGGACTTCAGCTTTGTTTAAGAGCTCTGGGTCCTCCCAGCTGAAAACTGGTATCACTGATGCCCCTGAGGAGGGTCAGATGCCCCTGGGCAGCATTTAGCATGTGGAAGGGGAGTCCTGTATGGAGTGAACTGGTGTCTCTTGGCAGGGTGGGTGGTTGTGCCTGCCCACTGAGCGTGGTGCAGCTGTCTCCGTTTTACGGTGGGAGAGGGCTTGGGCTTGATCATTTCAGCTGTATTTATGGCTGAGTACACAGCCAGCCTGTGATAATAAGTGCGTTCAGCTACCAAATAACCATATCATTTCATTGGTATCCAACAGCATGAGCCTTTCTCATCCTGCTCACAGGAGGTGCTTTAGATATGTTAACAAACATAAGATACCTTAGATGAGGTATCGACTGGAATAAAACAGTAAAATCAAGAGTTCTGCCTGCTTTGTTGAGGGCAGCAAAGTGCTTTTTTTCCCGCCTGCTCCAAAGGAAGGGCAGCCCCGGTCTGAACCCTTGCCAGTGTCAGCAGCAATCACGGACCTTCCGGGATTAAATCCTGTTACTGAGCTGCTGCCAAGTAAGCAACTGGCTTTGCAGTGGGGAAGGGGGTAGAGTTTGGTAGGAGTGGCGACTGCATATCATTACATGTTTTCCTTGCTCTGCCAGAGCAAGGGAATATACAATATATTGATATATATTCACGTCAATATCTGTTCTGTACCTATTCACTAGCCCTGATGTCAGTCCCTTCTGAATTCAAAGCCTAGTGATGAAGTCACCTTAAAATGAAGCTGGTACTAATGTGCTTTTTGGAGTAGAGAGGCAGAGACGTGCAGAAACATTTTGCTGATTTGAGTCTTTATGGATGCAAGAAGTAAGTCACTTTAGGGTAGGAAGAAGTAGTGAGGGGCAGCGAAATTAACTTTGGGTCATTTATAACTAAGATGTGATATATATGCATGACCTTTAGTGAAGTCCCAGCTGATCTGAGCTTCTCTTTGTATCTCATGAAGCTGAGCAAGGTTGAACTTCTCAAAGCAGCACCATTGCTGTAGTTTAGATACAACTGTAGTCGCAGCTGGAGCCCTGGCTGAACTGGATGTGTGTTAGTGCAGGAATCCCTGCTACCTGGTGGCTTTTTCCATTTAATCACCATGTTCTGCTTGCAGTCAGTCTTTAATTGGTTTATTAATTTTGTGCCTTTTCTCTCGTTAAGCTTGTCCAGTGAGCAGCTCAGTGGCACGCTGGGTTCGAACAGGGTCTGTGGGGGCTGCTGCAACACAAGCAACGGTGCTGTTAGGTGGTGGTGGGAAACTGGGGAATCTTTAGGTTTGGTGAGTTTGCTGTTGCAGGAACCACACAAAGCTTAGTGGTTTCCGTTCTCAGGGCTCAGCGTGGGGATGGGTTTCAATTCACATGCATTCATTCACCCTCCCCCAGGATTGCCCCTGAAGCTTGGAAGTTATCATGGGACCTTGAGTCCAAAGCTTTCATTTCTGCCCTGTTTGGTGTTGCTGGTGTGGGATGTCATGCGGTGCTCAGCTAAACTGAACCTTCAGGAAAGATCAGGGAAGGGGAGCAGGAGGGTGAAAGGGCAGTAGTTTTCCCAGACGTGGTGAAGGCATCCAGGGCCATTTTGTAAATCCTGGCTGTGTTAGTAAGCAAGGCAACAGAAGCTGGAAGCAAGTTGGAGGGAGACATGGAGGTAAAGAGAGTTTGGAAAGCAGGAGTCAGAGGTGAACTGTGTTTCACCCACTCTGTTATTGCTAGAATACTACGTTAAAATGAATTTAATGAAATCTCAAATAAGTATAACGAATGCTGCTAAATTTTCTGATTTCTCGGTCAGCTTCAGGGCAAGGTTTTGCTCCCCTTACGGCTGGGCCTATGATAGTTAGAAAATATTTGCTCCTTTACTTAGTTTTCCAGCCCTTGTAACTGTAGAGAAGAGCTCAAAGCTGCATCCCAGATACATTCTTTAAGTTAAAAACACGAAGATAAAGCAACAAATCCACGCATTTATTAAACTATATTTTTGTTACGATTTTTTTCAATGTCAGTCCCCTGACTTTTGTTGTTTAGAGTGGGGTTTGTAACTCCTGAATTCCAGAGACCTCGTTTGAGATCAGGGTCATAGTGTGACCCAGCCACTGGTTCGATAGCAAAAACTTCACACAGCCCTAGCTGTTGCTGACTGTGCTGTGATAGTGTTTTGAAAAAGACCCAAAACAATAGAGGAAAAAAACACATTTGAATCTCAAGGACAGCACAGCTGCAGCATCTTGTCCTTTCGACTTTGTAGTTAACAGGAGCAGAGGGTCTGCCCTGGTTTGAATTTTGTCTATGTGACGTTAGTGCTGTCAGTGAGTGACACCCTCCTGATGTGAGAGTGCATTGTTTTGCAGGAGCCAGGCCAAAGAGACTCCAAAGGAACAGCATGGACAGCTTAGACCTCCTGAAGTTCCCTTCTGAAAAGGTAAGCAAAGATGTCTGGCCTCAAAGATTAAATATCAGTAGGAATCTGTAATGGCTTGTTGACTGGCTTCATTTGCAGGGAGGTATGCAATTAGCAGATATCATTGGAGTCAATGGGATTAACCAAAGAGGGTTTCTAGAGAGCTTAGAGGAGAGGAACAGCTGGTCTAACTAAAAAGGCACTTAACAACTGAAAGCTGAAAAAGCCACTTCTATGCTTTTTTGAAAAAACAGCCCTTATTGAGAGGATAATCATTAGCATTTTAGCCCCTTTAGTGGCTGGTGGCAAATCTCAGTGCCTTATTAGTCCAGCAGAGTGCTGCTTTCAGCACAAGTAGGGAAGGAGAGGTCAGGAGCAGGAGACGGTGCGTTGCAGGAGGCAGAGAGTTTTGTTCCAAGGGGCTCTAAGGATTACCTCTGCTCCGGTTTGCTGCTGGAAATGTCAGATCCAAGCAGATCAGCATTTTCTCAGTCTCCCCAGGGCAAAGGCTGTTTCTACAGTCAGCTAGGAGGCACTGAGCATTTCCACCTACAGGGATCATTTAAGTTTCTCAGAAAATCCTGCGTAGGATCGCTGGGTCTGCCCAGCAGCAGGCACTGGTGCTGCCATGGGGTTCAGTCATGCCTGTTCCCAGAGGAGGTGCCAGGCAGGCAGCTGTGCTCCGCCTTTTTGGAATGTCTTTGGCACAAATAATTTACATGCATCCAGCGCTTTCCAGGCACAACTCTCCTGAATGTCCCAGGGAGCATTTCCCCTTTTACAGAAGCGTTACAGAGAGAAAAAACTCGCCCAAGTTGCAAGTAGATGCAGATGGTCAATGGAAAACAACCTCAGGCTTGCAAAAACATTTGAGTGCCTAAACATCCCAGTAAGCACTGGGAGGGCCAGACAAAAGCTGCTCCCTGAATTAACGCTCTTTGGGAGTTAAATGCCAAACGCGCTTAAGTATTTTTATTAATTCTCTTAACTGCCCACTGGCCATTTTGGCTCCTACCTGCTATAACCACCTCTGGGGGGTTGATAGCAAGGACAGCGATGCCCGATGACAGGGAGACATTCGATTGTGTATCCTCATCGGAGCAGCATGGCCCAGAAGACTGGCAGGGAGAGTTTTGCTGATGTGTGATTTGCTGCTAATGCTGTTATTGCTTTTGGTTTCCTACTCTTTGCTGTAAAAGCTGAGCCTCGTTCAATAGTTCAGGCAAGGTTATGGGATTTCAGGGATTTCACAGGGAGGATGGAGTAAAGAGGAGCTGCGGGTAGTCCGTAACCGTGGAGTCAGATGTGAGCTGTCCCGTTCCCCCTGCAGTGGTCCCGTGGGGTGTGTACAAGTTCACCTCTCCTTGTGAGAGTGTTTTGGATGCAATTCCCCTGCTGCGGCTCCTAGGGAGAGGCAATTACAGTCATGGGAGAGGGTTGTTTTCTTCAAGCTTGCTATGGTGGGGGTGATAAGATTGTAAAGAATAAATCAGTGAAGTGAACTGTGATCTTTCCAGCACCCTCAGACTAAAAATCTCTTTATCACATGCTGGTTTTTACCCTGAAGGTGCTTACATGCCGTATTTGAGTCATCTATTCTTTTTTTCATGAACTAAACAGTTTGAGGGCTCTAACTGTAAGGCATTGTAAGGCAGTTTCTTTCCAGTTCTGAAATCCACTTTTGCGGCTGCTTTTCAAAATATGGACACAGGCCTGGATGCAGTTGGTCCCATCAATAGCATCTAGGGAAATGAATCTCTCCTTACTTCTTCTCACTATTCCTGTTTGTGTTGCAAGGAATGGAAGAATCTTTTTGGCTACGGCATCCCACTGTGCTGTTGGTGTGCTGTGACTTCAGATCCTGTTCAGTATCCTTGGCTTTTTGGTGTACGTGCTCTTAAATTCCAACCTCGTGGGCCCTTGGGTCATCTCCTGAGCTGTGCTCGAGCTTTTTTCACCTGCATGTAGCTGCTGCAGTGAAGATACCCTGGGGAGTTCTGTCAGTGCTTTATGTATGATAAAGAGGTGGTTTGCAGCCCGGAAGCACAAAGCGCAAAGCATCAAGCAGGTTTAGGCACTCAGTTCCCACTGGTTATGTGTAAAATGCCTGGTGCCTTTAATAAGTGTCTTTGAAGCTAAATGCTGAATACTCCTGCTGGTGCTTCTGTATGAGGGCCGCATCTGTGTGACAGCAGTAATGAGGCTGTTATGATAATACAGGCAGGGCCATTAACCTGGATCTTTTGACAGAGAAGGGATAGAGTTGTGTGCATCTTATGGGAAGGGGGTGAAAATGGAGGGGCCAGGCACAGGGCAGGGCCTGGAAAAGCAAAGTGAGGAGCTGCAGTGAGAAGGGACAAAAACTAGAATTCAAGTGATGTATAATCTCTGTGACCTCAGTTTCCCCATGCATTATACGGGGGTGATAATCCTATATTTTATATGTCTATGGGAGCACTGAGCAAAAGCATTTAAGAGAGCAAAGGAGGACAGCAGTGAGAGAACAGGGGACTGCTTGTAACCATCTGCTGTAGTTAGTCATGTTACCCTGCGGTCCGCACGCGCTTCTGGTAGCATGAGGGTTGGCAAAAGAGCTGAATGGGGCTCCAACCATTCATGTTAATCTGCCTTTTAGGAAACTGTTGGGTAAGGGCTCTTCTTCTTGCTGAAGCCAGTGAGAGACACTGAGGCAGGCAGTGCTCTGTGTGTGCTGGGAGCCAAATCCTAGAGGTGGGAAATGCTGTGGAGCATCTAGGATAGCCATGTTCCCTGGGACATGGTTATGTTATCCATGGGTCAGCGTGGGTTGCGACACAGCTGGGCACTGGGGAAGAAGTGAAGATACAGCAAGCGGAGGGACTTGTGCCAAGAGTTTGGTATCCTGGGCAAGATGAGCTTGCCACTCTGTGGAAGGTTTTTATGAGTGCAGTTGCCAGAGATTACTAGCAGCAGTGACTGCTTCTGGACCTTTCATCCATCATTCCCTATGCCTGTAAATAAACCAGCCATGTCTGTACCTCTGTACCTGGATTTTTTTAAGAGGATGCTGCTTCTCCCTGACTTCTCCCTGTGGAGAAGTTGACTACTGTGTGTTGTTTGGGTGATGCTTCCTCTCCACTCATTAAAATCACCTGCTGTGGAGATAGGCAAAATGTCCTCATTTAACTCTGCACATCATGAGTGGCAACTCATACTGTCTACACTCCATGTTAACTTCTTGCTTCTGTGCATCTCCTGTTCTGTGGACACTTGCCAGCAGATCTCCAAATAAACCTGAGACAGGCAATTTTTGCAATGACTATTTCTTGCTTTCCCAAGGACCAGAATGGGGACAGCCATCACGTGGGAGACCTGAAGATCTCTGGAAAAGAGTTCTTGTCATTACCTGCAAGGTCAAAGAAATACCGGGAACACCAATCCAGTTCAGAGAGAAAGTCCCAGGGGTCAAGTACGTCGCCACTGGATACCAGCGAAGTCCGAGTCCAGGTCTCGCAGTCGGTAGGAAGATGTTTTTTTCTTCCAGTACTGATCTGGGAGTTTCTTATAGCATATTTGTTCTTACCTCATTTCTAACCTGGTTTGGGGGTGGCAGTGTGGCCTGTTGGCTGGAAAACAGAGCCTGCATATAGCTCTGCTTTTGACTGTTTGGGTAACTGTAGGCAAATCATTTTGCCTTTTTGAGTCTCAGCTTCACTGTCCATTAAGCAGAACAATGGTACCAACCTCCATTATGAACTGGTTTGTGAGAACTTGGTATTTAGTGGTGGTATTGGTAACCTTCTCCTGAGGGATGAGAGTTTAGACCTCAACTTTCCTGAGTTTGGGACTGTCAGGATGTGATGCCTTGAATTCCAGAAGAACACAGCAATTTGGAGCCCTTGCTGTGTGGAACCTGACTTGATCAGCCTCCTGGGGTTCATGAGGAGTGGGCTTGTTGCCTTCAAGAAACAGAGCCCTTTTCAGGTTTTTGATGAGCAACCAAAAATGCTGGTTGCCTCTGCCAAATCTGGGACCTTAGGTATTGTTCTCTCTCATCTCCTGATCACATTGATAGTCTCCAGAGTGGCAGTGTGCAGAGTGGTCTCTGAATTAATCAATCATTAGGCAGAGATGATAGAAGATCATTGTCTAGGAGCATCTCTTTGGAAGCAAGTTAGGTGGAGCATGCTTCCTCAAGAGCAGAAGCTGGCAAGAGGAGCTGGCCCTGATGTCAGTGATTTATGGGTTGCTGGCATGCAGTAAGTGCTGTGTTGGGTGTTGAAGAGCTGACTGAGTCTGTGCTTGGCTCCCCGGAAGGTGGTGGGGATCCGTGACCCGGAAAGCTCTCCACGTGCCTTTTTGATGTCTTTAGCCTGAACAATTGAGCTGTTTGTAAAGCTGTTATCTTCCGGTTGTGTTGATGTTTGTTGTGACACATGGCAAATACAATGTACTGGAGAGGTTTTCTGCAGCTGTGTTGGTTTTGTTCTCAGTCCTGGAGACAGGGATCACACCCACAAACGATGGCATGTTTCTGGATCGTGGGAGGGGGCTTGGAGATACTTGAACTCAGTGATTTCAAGTGAGAAGCCCCAAGTCCTCAGCTTGTTGTTGCCGGGAGATGGAGCGTAACAGCAAAGATGTAATGATTGCATGGGTTCTTGAAGGTATTGTAACGCATTTTCACAGTCCTGTGATCGTGCAGTGATTCCAGATGGAATAAATCCAAGCCAGGAAAGATAGGCCTATTTTTTCTTGGTATTTAAGAAAAGCAAAATAAAACATTTTCATGCTGGGTAAGAAAGGGTCTGAACTGCAGAGCTTGGGATGAAGCCTGTCTGTAGAGTGGGGATGCTTGAAAGTGTTTCTAGCACTGAGTCCTTTGTTCCTGGTCTGTGGCTCATGGGGAGAACATGTCCCGCTGTACCTGTGTGCATGTGCGTATGTACACATCCATTTTTGACCACAGATACTCCTGATTTTCAGTGTTCTGACCACTGGAGACGGGATCTTTATACAAACTGGGTTTTTTATAGACTTCTCTGAGCTCATTCTTCATTCCCAACAGTGCTCGTGGAAATGTTCTAATAGGAAAAGCATTTCCTACTGCTCACCGGTGCAAACATAATCATTGAGAAGGAAAACAAAGCTCATCTGAGCCAGAAAGGAGACAGCAGCACGGGGGCATCCAAGGCAATACAAAGGCAGAAAAAAACCCCACTTCTGCCAGAAATAGCCTTGTATTTTTAACTCAGACATTCAGCCAGAAACCAAACAAAAGTCATGCTCCATCCAAGAGCAAGGCAAAAAGCGTTCCTCAGGAGTGTAGCTGTGAGTACATAGGCTGTGTCTAAGAAAAGGCCCCATGGGATGTTGCTAACTACCAGTGACCTCGTGATAGTACACATGGGGTTTTGGTGAATGCCCATGAAAGAGCAAGTGTAGACATACACACTCCAGTCACAGGAGATGCCTTTCAGACACCTGGGGTACATGCTGATTCCTGACTCTGATGGAAGTGTGTGAGTAGGCGAGGGACACGCTGCTCCTCCCACCCTTCAGGGAATGGGGGACAGGGCAGCAGGGATGCAAAGCCCAGGGTTTGCTCTTGCAGAGGGGTGGCTCAGGCTCTACCTGACTGCTGCAGTCTGATTCTTTCACCCGCTGTACTCCCAAGTCCTCTTCCCTGTGTGCCCTGACTTTGCAGTGTGCGTGTGTTAGCTCCCCACTTGCTCTGGATTTGGGAGCTGAGCCCTGAGAGCCCATTTTTAGTTCAGTTCCCAGGCACGCCTGGTGCACATGGTAGTAAAACAGCGTAGGGTGAATTCAACAGGATATACAGAGCAGCAATGTGTGGAAAAAAATGATATCTTCCTCCTTGTGGACACTAAACATGTCCCATTTTATCCCAAGAGAGAATAGATCAATGCACTCAACAGTGCTCTTGGCTGGAGAAGGGTGGCTGCCTGTCTTACGTTTTAAAGAATGCCCCTTACTTGGTATCTAATGGGCCATAGTCCATATCCCATAAAAATGACAGTGACAAGTGTTTTATTGCGTTTTTCTTCAGGCCGGTAGATACACAGAGATACATAGTCTTTGTAGGCAGATGCTCTGAAAGGCAGAGGGAAGTTTGCTTGGCAAAATGCAGGTAGGACACCAAAGCCTCCCAGCATTGCTCTCAGTGGGGCATCCTGCCATCCTTCCTTGCCAAGGAGGCCAGAACCCCCAACTAGGTTTTGCCCCTGCCTGTGCACCCACAACGTGAAGGCAGGTGTATTTATATCCCCTTCCCTGAAGTTTTTTGAAACACCCTCAGAAATCCAGGAGCCCCCCAGAAGCCAGAGCTGGAGAGGCTCAGGAGGAGGCATTTGAAATTCTGCCCTGATCCCTGCAGTGCCTGGCAGTGCTGCGTGCATGCTGTTTGTCCAGGCAGAAGTTTGTCTGTCACCCCTGTGGCAGACAGCAGAGCCCTGCCGGCACATGGCTTACACCAGCTGGTTGTCTTCAGATCGTGCCCCACCACACATGAAATACCTTCCAGAAAAGGCTCTTTTGCCAGGAGAACGGCTCTGCAGTATGTTCTGGTGGACAAGGCTGGGTCACTTCAGGTGAATTTTGTTTTGTGTTGGTGCTCCCAGCTGACAGTTCGGCCAGCCTGACTTCGTAGCGTAGGCCAGCCCTCAGAATGTTTTAAAGTCAATGTCGTCTTGCAGGTACTTGCCAAAAGCGAAGCAACCCATTGCCTTGTGTTCTGCGTTTGTCCCTGTCTGTCAGAGGGCTACCAGGGCCATGTCGGTCTGTTGTATGGGAGTGTGGGTGGGCTTTATTGAAAAGCTGTAATTCCCATCCATGTGAGACTTTTTAAATGAAATGTAGCAAACCCCACCCAAGATGGGAGAGAAGCTTTCCTTGCTCAGGCTGTTCAGTCAAGAATCCCCCCCGATTTCTCATCTTCTGAATGCTCAAAGCAAAAACTCTCTTTAATCCATCAGTAAACAGCAAGTCCTTAATTAGAGGTGAGCTCTAATGGTTGATTTAAGGTGCTTTTATGGGATGCCACAATACCCGCTGCCCCATCAGAAGGCATGAACTCAAACTGTGCACGCAGTCCTGTGTGCTGCTCTCCCACGGTCTCCCACCAAGGCTCTGCGCAGGGATGCCCAGGAAAAAAACTCATCCCAGGACTCCCAGGCCCCAAGCCGAGTGATGTAATCTCTGGATAAGTCCTGCTGTCCACACAGCCTCTGACCTCCTTCCAAAGGGGCCTTACTGCAGCAGGCAGCTCCCTGGGACGGGGAGGTCCCGTGGGTGCGGTGCCTGAGTCAGAGCTCCTGGGTTTGCTGCCCATCTCTGCCACTGACTACCATTTGTTTACCTCCCTCTTCCCCATCTGTGTGATGGGGTAATGCTGCTTCCCTGCCTACCCTGGGGAGGTTACAGAGGCGTGATGATGGCTGTAAAGTTGTTTGAGCTTTGGATGGCAGGAGCTGTGGTGGTGTTATTAGCATTGGTGATGATGATGCTAATTACTGAGCTGCTGGGAAACTCCCCATGGGAGGAGGCGGGAGAGGGGAGGAGAGGCAGGGAAAAGTGAAGGGAGGCGAAGTGAGCTCGGGGATGGAGAGGAGTTTGTCCCTGCTGGCAGCTCTGTCAGGCCCTGGGAGAAGGGCTCAGCCTGTTGGCAAAGCCGTGGGGATGCTGGGATGGATAGGAGAAGCCATGGCCCAGGTGCTGCGTAAGGTAGGAGAGCGTGCCAGGGCCCGCGGCAGGTCCCTCTGTGCGACTTAGACCTTCCTGCCGCTGCTGAGCAAGATGCTGGTGTGGGACACCAGCATGCACACGGTGGAGAGCTTGCGCAGGAGGGTCGCGTCGCTGGCTGGGCGGAGAGACGGGCTTCCTTACCCCTCCCGTGGCCCCGTGAAATGGTGGAATTTCCCGGCCATGGCTGATGGTCACTGGGAGAAGGACCGGCACTGCCTGGGTCTGGGGGACAGGCAAGGGCAGGGTCCTCTTCACCTTTGAGGTCAGGTCTGGAGCTCCCATGGGAATATGTAGGGCTGTGAGTGCCTGGTTCTCCACAGGCAGAGCAAAGGTGGGTTTGGTCTGGGAGAAGCTGGTGAGGGTGAGATGCATTTGGCCACATTTTCTTTCTGTTGCAGCAGAGCCCTGAGCAAAAGTAGCTGCATTAGAGCTCGGTCCCTGTGTGCCTGCAGTTGCAGGCGGCCAGATCCGAGTGCTCCCTGGGATTTGTGCACCGCACACCTTCTGAGTTTCCTCTCTTTTAAAAGTAACATCAAAGCAAAAGGTTTTGTACCACATGAAGCTTGCAGACATCAAAGGCTTGCTCATAAACTTAAGCCCTCTGCTCCGCTGTGGAGAAGGTCATAACGCTCCAGCTCTTGATTGACTTGGTAACAGCTGTATTTTAGAGGGTTACTAGAAGGATGGGATTTTTCTAACACTTCAGGAATATCAGAGATTGTGTGTCCCTCACCCCTCCTCTCTGAGAGAGCAAC